GTTCATCATCCAAATTTTTACGTATTTCTTAATAGTTTAAAAGAAGATTTTGCGTTCAATACGGCTATTATAACACAAACTTCTGCCACTGGTGCAACACCATCACGTAAAAAATTATATGTTCAACGAAATACACGCATTCTTGTTTTGGAAAAAAGATATCAAGAACACAAATTAACATTAAATGAATTTCACGACCGAAGTATGAAACTGATTGGTATTAATAAATTCTAAGTTTTCTTTTCTTTTTCTGTATTACAAAATATAAATTTTTCATACATATCACTTAATTAGTATATATATCAATTAAGAAAATAGTCGGCAAAACGAGAACCATAGATTTTTATATTTTTAGAAAAGTCGGCAAAACGAGAATATTTTTAATGAGTAGGCGAAACGAGAATACACCACCGGATGCATGCTTGCTCTACAAAAGTAGAGTATGACTGCCGAATGCGTACAAAATAAAGATAAATGGGCTCTTGGCCCAAGCTTTTCAAGTAAATTTGCTCGGAAAAGCTATACTTCTCTTTACTCCAGGGCCACAAATAGGAGCAGAACATTAGGGGAGGGGGTGGAGGTGTAAAACAAAATTTCTCTTTGAGGTAGTGTGATATTGATAAAAACAGTTTTTTTGAATAATGGATAAAATAACAACAGCTTTTTCAATCATTCGGGGGCAGGTGCGCACCTTCCCGTTATTTGCGCCCTGCCTTACTCTTGTATATTTTGCACAGTAAAATCAGCTAATATGTTTCTAGACAATGAATGATAATAAAATCTTCTTGTAACACTTACCGATTAATATTTTTTCTGATGTGTGTGAATAGCTGAAGTATATAGTATTGCAACAGAAATATTATTGTTTTGACAAATAATATAGAGTGACCGATTGCATTCCTAGGCAGAAACGTGATCTCTGTAGACTATTATTTTTAAAAAAACTAGTGCATTTTGTAGAACAGACATTCGTGTATATGAATATCTCAACTTTTTCTTCATTCCATTACTAATTAAGCCTTTAACTTGATTACATTTATAATTTTAATGAAACCAAATATGGTTAAAAACAGCACTGTTAATTTTAGGTCGTCTACTGGCTAAAAAATATTCTCTTTTTCGTCAAATTATATCAGATAGTAGAGAAGAGTCCACTGAACAACTCTCTCATTTAGACTAGATCGAAAAACGGCATCTAGAAGTTTATGGAGATCGGTTTTTGTGTTTTACATGCAGTGGTCGGAATTCCCCCAAATGAGGTCTTTTTCCAAAAAATGGCTGTCCTTTTTTAATGTAAGTTCTCACTAACTAACTGTTAATTAAGGGAAGGTGATCTCAACTTGCCAAGCACATGATTGTAAAGTGCTCAAAATTCTCTACGAGGTGAGCTAATTATTAATTAGAAAAGTTCGCCGTTCAGCAAAAGTTGTTTTACACTGCGACCAAGTCAAAAACCATACAGAAAAGAGATGAATAAGTCTGCTGGGATGAAGAAATAGGTAGAAAGAATGCCAGTTTCTCTTCTTAGATATAGACAGGTAAAGAAAATAAGAACTTAACAATTTGTTAGTAATGAGATTTGTATACATCTAAGTAGATGTAATATATAACTTATATTTATACAAGTTTTATTTTCAATTATTTGCTAAAATAGCAAAAATCATAGATAAGGTAGACGTTTCACTGCACATTTAATGAAAACATTGACACAGTAAATTCTATTTTAGATTATCTCCTCACGTGAATTCTTCTGCTGGCAGCCATCGCCGGCATCAATATGCGCGCGAGGAGAGGATATTATAAATATTAACAGATCGGTTACAGTTGCAGCACTGAATTGTTACCAGCACTAGTATCATTTGTGCATCGTTCAAAATCTAACACATGAATTAATCAAATTTGACTTGAGTCTAACATAATTAAGTCAACAAGCAACAGATTAAAAATAGTCTGTTCAAGAGTACAATAGTCAATATAATGGACAAAGAAACAATGTAGATAGGACACTTGTCTGGAAATATTATCTCTCCATTTCTCTTGCCAGAGGTGTCTTGTCTAGGTACCAGAATGACTTTGTGTCTAACAAGAGTCTCGATGCATTTCCGGTAACCTGAACGCAACTACTGATTTATTCATGACTGAAGGGCGACTAAATGTCTTGGCCGAACTAATGTCTTGTGACTTTTTGATGCGTTAGTGATGTCTATTGAAAGTATCTAAGCTATTTAGATTAAAAAAAAAGTAATGATTTAGAAGTGTTTTGTTAAGACATCAAGGCGGCTAACAGTAAAAAAGATGAGAAAATGCACCTAATGTGCCTTCATTACGCGTTGTGGAGGCATGTTGAAGCCATCAGAGTGGTTTATTGAGACACTTTTTTTTTGACAGTGCAGGCATGCATCGAGACGAGAAACCTTGATGCTGTAGTCTCGAATCTCGAAAAGTTTCGACACCTGAAACTTTAGTCTCGAAACTCTCCGTATGGCTGTGTACCTCTTTTATTACTTGTGTAGAGTCTTCTCATTTGCTGATAAAATCCCGCAACCTCCCAGGTCGAATTCACCCGATCGGATTCTTTTAATTCCGGTGATTTCCGGAGATCGAGCGTCCGATCGGATCCGGAGATCGAAATCTGCTCAATTCCTTCATGTTCCGATATTTGGTTGTTGGAGGATCCAGAGATCGGATCCGATATTCGATACCAGTCGAATCCGTTAATTTCCGGTGACCGGAAATTGACGGATCCTGTGATGTGCACTTTATTCCGTTTTCTTTCTTTCCTGTGCGCTTAATATATTCACCATTTTATTCCACGACAGGAGCACTTTAAATACGACACTATAGATTGTTATAACACGGTTATTGAAAATTGCTCAGATTTGCGGAATGCCTCATTTTGTAGAAAAATGTTTGTCCTATATATTTGCAAGGAAGATAAACTAAACATTGAAAGAGAAAAGCGTTTTTAACGAAGTACTGAAGAGACACAAACAGTTATATAACTGGTGACGAGTAAGTGTCATGAAATCCGGATTATTAAAATCCTTCTTTTAACTCAACCGAAAACTATTCATCCAGAATCCAATATGTCCGGATGAATCATTTGCCGAACATGTTGGAATCCGGATGACTTATTTCCGGATGAATTTCCCTCTATCAACTCCGGTAATTTCTTAAAAAACTTCTCAAATCTGGGAAAAAGTTCTGGACGAGTTTGTCACTTGTAATAAAAAGCAATGCAAATCCGCATGTCATAGAGTATAATAGTAATACTAGTAGCTTCATTATTAAAGTATATTTTGAGTTGGTTTCATTCATAAAGCATGTCCTGGTCATGACATGTCATGATTCGAGTGGTATCGGATATCGAATCCAATCGGACGTTGGATCTCCGGAAATCATCGGAATTAAAAGGATCCAATCGTGCGAATTCGACATGGGTTGCATTGCCTGTTATTACAACTCAAAAAGTCATACAGAATATTTTTTACGGAAGTTGATCGAGGAAATTCATCCGGAAATTTTACGGACTTTTAAATCTGGATGAAATTACATCCGGATAGAGTTATACGGGCGAGTGGGATTTCCAGATAAAAAGGCATCCTTGACTTAAAAATATCCGGATTTTATGACACTCTACGCTGGTGACCAGTTACCGTGTACAGTTATGGCGTTTAAAATGCTGATTTTTTGTTAAAATTAACTTTAAACTTTTTTTGTTTCAACAAATATATAGAACAAACATTTGTCTACAAAATGAGACATTCCGCAAGTTTGAGCGATTCTTAATAACCGCGTTATAATAATTTTTTTAACAGCAGTTATATAACTGGTACATGCCTACCTCTATGCTGTTAAAGCACGACTCCATCATCGTGACGAACTACTATATTAAGGAAAGAAGAGTAAATTCGACTGGTTTGTTTCATATCGTGTGGTTTGATAAAGTAAGCTATCTCTTGTAACATTTTCGGCTATACAAGGTGCGAGTTTGGATGATGAATTTATGTTAGTTCTTAAGTAGTGTGTTTAAGTTAATTACTATACTGTTAATAAATGAATTTAATTTTGTGATGTAAAACTTTTCATCTTGTCATAGTGTTCATTGATTATGTGTGGTGATGGACGATTATTTAGTCATGAATAACAATGATTCGCAGGTCTTTGAACCAGAAGAGGATGAAAATGATGAGCTCACTGAAGAGTGGGAGGTAATAAAATATCAAAAAATGTTATAATTATAAGATCGTCTCTTATCTTTTACTAGTACGAAGACAAGCGACTTATTACTGTTGGTATTTGCGCAATGTCAAAGAAAGTTAAGGCAAAACCTATGGAAGAAATACTTAATCGAATAGAACAGTTTGAATTTATTAAAATCAGTGTATTCCCGGGTAGATATAACGCTGTCCTTTGTAATTGATTTTATGACTATTTTGTCTTATTTTCAGAAGCCACAATAATAAATAAACCTGTTGAAGAATGGCCGTTTTGCAATGTGTAACTATCTATTATTATTTGTTCAATCATACATACTACGTTCTTTTTGTTTTTCTCTTTTTTTGTTTGATATCCTTCCATTCGAAAGGATTTCCATTGAGAAAAGCTCAAGAATACTGCAAGCTACATCGACCGTTTTTAATCAACGATTTGGATAAACAATGGGATATCATGGATCGGTATAGACGGTGAGAAAGAAGCTAAGAAACATGCCAAATTTTAATTCTTAATTTAGAGTACAAGTACATGAAATATTGAAAGATGCTGGAATTCCTCAACCACGATATGCTTTCATACAACGTCCACTCACCGGTACGCAAATGAGATAGCTGATTGACCCATAAATATTTTTAATGGAAATTCGGTTGCTAAAGAAGAGCAAAAGACATGTGTTTATTTCATTAACACCTCATACGTGCAAAAATAACAGGTTCATTTTGACACAGATTCAGAATGTTTTTCTTATTTCAATAGGATAGAAAAAAGAACACTTGTACTACTAGTAAACAACCGTAGTTTTGTCTGTATATATCAAAATATCTTCCACAGAGAGTCAAACTATGATTTTAATTATCTTTCAGTAGTTTTTCATCAGTTATTTATTTGTAGATCCTTCTACTGCTGTCTCATCAGGGCTTAACTCAAGCGAGCAGGATGATCAAATTGAAATTAATGGAGAAGTATTTCATAAGCCGTTTGTAGAAAAACCTGTCAGTGCTGAAAATCATGAAGTTTATATCTATTTTCCTGCTGCAGTCGGTGGAGGAAGTCAAAGATTGTTTCGAAAAGTTTGTTATTTTGCTTAATAGTCAATATCAAAAAGATGTTGTAGGGTATTTTCTTTTATTACAGATTGGTAGTCGTAGTAGTGTATATACCGTAGAGAACAGTGTTCGTACTGATGGATCGTATGTTTATGAAGAATTTATGCCTACAGGTATTTATTTCCTCTCTATTATTCTGTTGTCGAGACATTACTATTTATGATCATAAACAGACGGTACAGATGTGAAAGTGTACACCGTTGGTCCAGAATATGCTCATGCTGAAGCTAGAAAGTCACCCGCACTCGATGGAAAAGTTGAGCGCGATGAGTTTGGAAAAGAAGTACGGTAAGTAAAAAAAAATCATTACTTATTTTTAATCATTGTAAATTTAATCGCTTTTTGTCCTTAAATAGATATCCTGTAATGCTTCGTGCTGATGAAAAATTAATAGCAATGAAAATATGTTTGGCATTCAAAGTACACACAAATATTTTTATACTGTCTCTAATATATTCTAATATCTGTGTCTTTTCAGCAAACTGTATGCGGTTTTGATTTATTGCGTGCAAATGGAAAATCTTATGTATGTGATGTGAACGGTTTTAGCTTTGTAAAGAATGCAGTGAAATATTATGATGATTGTGCATCGATATTGGGACATATGATTATACGTGAATTTTCACCAGCATTATCCATCCCATACGCATTGTCATTTCAACCAGAGGATGCCCCATTTGTTCCGACTGTTTTTGGAACTAGGTATTAAAGCATTTGTGTGTGGATACATGTTAATCGATTTTTATTGGTTTGTATTTTTTTTCTGTTCTAGAATGGAACTTCGATGTGTAATTGCCGTAATACGACATGGAGATAGAACTCCTAAACAAAAAATGAAAATGGCTGTTTTACATCCGTTGTAAGTGCTCTCGTTTTTTGGTAATGAACATACCGTTTGCTGAATTTATTTTTTTCTTATAGATTTTTTCAACTTTTTGAAAAATATAAAGGGCATAAAACTGGCCAATTGAAATTGAAACGTCCTGGACAATTACAGGAAGTACTCGACATTACACGAACATTAGTAAAAGAATTAGATGAAAAAAATATTGAGGTATATTAAAAACTCCGTTTGTTATTTAATTAAAAAACTTTTTTTTTTTAAAACTATTTAAGAAATTTCCAAATTTACCAGAAACAAAACCAAAATTATTACAATTAAAAATGGTTTTGGAAATGTATGGACATTTTTCTGGTATAAATCGAAAAATTCAATTAAAGTATCAACAAAAAAAGGTCGGAGTGTCTCCGAAAAAGTCAAGTAGCGAAGATGGTACTATCAGATATATTATCTAAGAAATAATTATTCTTAATAAAGATTATTTTATAGAATTGGGCGATGTACCTACACAACCGTCTCTCTTATTAATTATTAAATGGGGCGGACAATTGACAGCGGCTGGTAAAAGTCAAGCAGAAAAATTAGGTGAAGCTTTTAGACGAATGTATCCAGGTGGTCAAGGCGTCGTTGGTGATCGTCCCGATGTTGGACTACTGCGTTTACACAGTACATTTCGTCATGATTTAAAAATTTATGCATCTGATGAAGGCAGAGTACAAATGACGGCCGCGGCTTTCACAAAAGGATTACTCGCTCTCGATGGTGAATTACCGCCTATATTAGTTCAGATGGTGAAAAGTGCAAATACAAATGGTTTACTGGACAATGATGCTGATTCGAAGAAAGAACAGACACGGTACAGTACATATAATTTTTCACTAAATATCTGAATATAATCTCGATTTTGATATATTTTAGAGTGAAAGAAACGTTACATGATTTACTAGCAAAAGATCGAGATTTTACGAAAGAGGATTATGACTTAGTAAGAACAAATGAACAAAATAGAACTAAACTTATTTACTTTCTTTCTATTAGATTGCACCATCTCGGTCCCGTTCATTAGCAGCATCAATGGCTTTCATTAAAAATCCTGTTAAATTATGTAGAAAAGTTTATGAGTATATACATGAAATGACATTGTTGATACGTTCAAAATTGCTCAAATGTGACGGAGGTGCATTATACTTTGTTTTTATCAAATTATAAAAATCATAAATGATACTAATTTTAGAAGTTTTATATCATTCGGAAACATTCGAATTGGTGTTAAGAAGATGGCATAAATTAGAAAAAGATTTTTATAATGCTCACAAAGATCGTTTTAATATTAATAAAATTCCTGATATTTATGATTGTATTAAATATGACTTGTTACACAATAAAAATGCTTTACAATTTGTCCATGCCGAGGATCTATATGTTTGTGTTAAAGCATTGGCTGATATTGTTGTACCACAAGTAAAATACAACTAACTATTCATTATTTATAGCTAAATTTTTTATATGTTTTCTAAAGGAATATGGAATAACAATTGAGGAAAAATTGAATATTGCACGCGGCATAGTTACTCCACTATTACGAAAAATTAGAACCGATTTACAACGTAATCTAACAGGTTATTGGGAAGAAGAGGAACATATTTTCCAGTTGGATAGAAGGTAGGAAGAGAGTAAGAGAGAGAAATATTAGTATTCGTTTTTGTTCTTCTTAATTTTTGCTTCAATCACCAATGTAAATTTTGCTTTATTTGTTCTATCAAATGCATTTCTATTTCTTTTTTGTTGTTGCTTCCCTTGTCTCTTTGTTGATGAACAACAACCGCACCTATCCATTTCAGATATTTGAATCAAGATGACAATGATATGAATACTCACAGGTATAAATCTTAAATTGCGCTATTGTTGATTTTTTTTATGTGTGTGAATTGTTTTTCTTTTATAATTGAAGTGTGACACACTACATTCAAGGTTTTTATAAACGATCTGTGCTTGTTTTTTAGTTGATGTATACGTGCTATTGGTTTGATTTGAGTGTTATTTTGTTATGTAACGGATTTTTTGAAAATTATTTTGTCATATTATTCTTATTTACACTTGGTGTAATGCACGCATAACGCTATTTTGTCTGTATATAGTCAAGTTAAATTTGAGACGAAACTAGTCACTCGATAGTAGCAAGACAAATTTATATATGACTGATCTTTTCTAATGTTCTTAAGTTAAAACTGTTTTTATCGATATATGGATGTTTGTTTCAACTTCTTTGTATAAACAGAATGTAGATGATCAAAATAACAAGCAATAATCTTGACAGATATGTTTGTTTTGTTTTAGTAATTCTAAAGGAATTCAAACACCCGGTCGCCATGTTCGTACAAGATTATATTTTACAAGCGAAAGTCATGTACATTCTCTTTTAAATATGATACGCTATGGTGGTTTAATTGATGTACGGGAAACAATATGGTAAAAAATAATTTTTTCTTTTAATATTTCGAAAAAAACTTTAGGTAGGTAGTGATGAACAATGGAAACGATCTATGGACTATTTGGATACGGTATCCGAGCTAAACTATTTAACTCAAATCGTTATTATGTTATACGAAGATCCGAGCGAAGACAATACTAGCGAACGTCGGGTATAGAATATTAGAAATGATTTTGATTTGTCTTTTTTACATGTTTTGCATGATCATTTTAGTTCCATGTTGAATTGCATTTCTCACCAGGTGCATTTGCGTGTTTTGATTCACCCGCTGATGTAAGACAAATTTAATATAATTTCTATCTAATCTGTCCTATTAATTATTAAAAAAACAGCTGGTATTGTTGACTTTAATTATTACTTTTTTAGCCTCATATGTTAAATGTGAATGTGATTGGTGGTTGCGATACGTTGCGTGGCACTGTGTTACCAAAAAGTACTCGTCAAGCAGCCCATTCGCCACCACGACGACAAGATAATACATCAGTGACAACAAATGGTATTACTGGTCAACAGCACCCTGTAATTAGTATTACCTCGCCAACTGACATTCCAGTATCCACGTCACCTCCATCAACGTTAAAACTGACTCCATCACCAACGAGAACCAATTCAAAAATTTTAAAACAGCGTTCATTATCATCTAAAAGTTTATCTCGAATGAATATATCGGATAAAGACACGTTAAAAAACGAACCGAATTCGACAACCCAACCAGTTCACATCGATAAGGTCACAAGTCCAACAAACCGTACGTATTTCTTTTTAATTAATTTTCAATTCTTCTTTTTGGCACAATACTCAATAGTATCAATGAAATTGCACCTCTTCTTTGCTTTGCTCATATTCATGGATCTTACATAAAAAAAAGCTGATGAAAGGCAAAAAAGGTTGCCCATGTTTTTTTTGAAATTTTTATAATTCTATGTATAGAATATCTTGGTAACGTGATAAAACCAAGAAGTCTTGAAGATAATACTACGAACGATTCAAATTTGCAGCGTAAGTTGTCTTTATTTTCTATTTACTTTCGTGTTCATATTTTAAAACTTGTAGTTGCACGACGCGTGTTTGTCTGTAGCTAATACAAATTATTGCTTCTAGAATAAGGAGTCAATTTTAAGTTGAAACAATGATTAGTTTGTAAATAGTTTGTAAATTTTTTTTGATAATTCTCATAAGAGAAACGTTCCGGTTTCTACGGTGTGCCTGATTTAAAAATTATTCAACATTATTCTATAGTTGTGGACGGGTAACGAAACTAACTGACGAGGAACCTTTCGAGGTGATAAAACGCTTTGTGCTCGGAATCTAGTGGGTTATAGGTTATCGACCATGCTGACTACGAATATGACCATGAAGGTTGCTCTTAGCCCTTCGAAGATCTGGTTTTCTAGAAAACCAGTTTTTCAGAAACTCTAAAATATAACCCGAACCTTTCTTAATGAGGCATGATTGTAGCCCGCAAATTTCTGATTAAAATGAGACATCTCCCAGCTTTACACGACCTTTCTTTCCAAAGTTATAAAATTCACAAGAGAAGCCCTAAATTAATTTCTTATTCCTGTAGCTTTGAGCTGACAATGAATATTTAGGGCTTTTCTTGTGAATTCTATAACTTTGCAAAAAAAGGTCGTGTAAAGCTGGGAGATGTATCATTTTAATCAGAAATGTGTGGGCTACAATCATGTCTCATTAAGAAAGGTTCAGGTTATATTTCAGAGTTTCTGAAAAACTGGTTTTCTAGAAGGGCAACCTCCAAGGTCATATTCGTAATCAGCATGGTCGATAACCCATAACCCACTAGATTCTAAGCAAAAAGCGTTTAATCACCTCGTGAGTATTGAGTAAATTCCAGCAAATTTTTCCATTAAATTTTTTTATCAATTTAGGTCTGAAGAAAAAATCTTCGGCATCGATTACGAGGTGCTTCTCTTTAAGTACGTAGAAAAAGGGAGCTCAGTGACTAGTGAGGCGCTGCTACTAATTTCTCAGCTCAGCTTTTTTTTATTGTATACCATTATTGTATACTGCGCAGGTTATTTGGAAACATACAGTGTCAAATAAGTATTCATATAACGGTTATTATCTTCGACCAGGAACGACTAAACATTTGTTTTTACTACCGGATAGCTCTGACATCATGGTTTTTTTAATATTCTTTCGGTCTCTGTTGATATGATATTTTCTTGCAATAGAAAATCGTGAAAAAACGTTACACGGTTAACAAATTGGATGTACATAAATGTCTTCAGAAATCATGCATGGTGAATCTACTTTAAGGGGACCCCTCATAAATCGATGATTGTCTTTGAAAATCGAAATTGAGTTTATTGCTTGGTTAGATACTCTGAAGATCTGTGGTCTCTTCATTCAGAATCTGCATCGCTTTCAATAAAAAAAAAGTTTTAAAAGTCGAGGAATTTTAGATTAAACCTTACGTCTACTGCTACAGTGACCTTCAAGCTTGTTTAACGCTTTTCTCAGTACATGGTTTTGATACAGCAAAACTGCTACTTCTCCTAGGCGGTTTATCGTAGCACCTTCATTTTTTGTTCTGAGGCTGAAACATAAGTCTAAAAATCTATGGAACAGATTTTTGAATTTCGCTTCCTGTTCCGAGAAAACTGAAAAATACTATCTCGGATTTCAGGAGTATTACAGAGTTTTCACTTGAAATATGTGCTGAAAAATGAACGAACGCTATGTAAGTTTCATCAAGGTTGCTTGTAGAACAAAAAGGGATTTTCTGAGGGGAGAGATCCCCTTAAACTGGTAAGAAAATTATAATAATCAGTGCGAAAGAAAAATTTTATTTCTTGTTACGTGAAACAGTCGTTGAAACGTGTAGATAAGTCAGTGTAGCCCAGCGTTAGAGCTATGCAACGATAAAAAAAGAATATTTTTAGCTCGTTCTTGGTCTAAGATAATAATCTTGAAAAAATTTTGTTGTCACTATATGAATATTTAACGGGTGGGGCAAAAGTTCTGCATTAATTTTGTTTTGGGGATAGCGTGGCGATGAAATATCGAGTAGTAACAACTTCTACGCTAAGAGGAGCATGTTCCTATATCTTTCCATTTTAGCCACGTCGCTGGTCATATGCAAACGAAAAACGAGTTCAAATAAATTTTATGTGTGTACAGTGTGTCAAATAACGGATGGGTCAAAAGTTTGTCTTGGATATAGCGTAGAGATGGAATATCGTAGAGACTTTATCCTTTTTTTGCTCGAAAGAGCAACGTGTCTAATACAGAAATATATAAGAGCGTTTGATCAGAGATGTTTTGTCGAAGGCCACAAAAATCTTACAACACAAGGCATGGGGAAACTGTTCCGCAATTTTGGTCACAATTTTTGTATCCAAATATATTTGTTTGACCTTTTTCATTACCCACTTTCGATGTTTTCGAGCACCATGTATATATGAAGTTGTTCATTACAACGAAGGGTTTCGTATGACATTAAAAAAGTCGGTATTGAATATAAGAGAAACCGTTTAATTAAAAACTCAATTTGCCGTTGTATTTGGATTCGTTTTTCATTTACATATGACCAGTGACCTGACCAAGATGGAGAGATATCGGAACATGTTCCTCTTAGAGTAGAAGTTGTTACTACTCTATATATAATACAAAAAAGATTATCAAAACAAAAACCACGTATATAGTTGGCAGTCTTCTAACTGAACATCGATGAAATTTTTTGTCTCTGTCTAGAGCTTTATTAACGCTTAAGAAATACAACCAATTTTAGAATTTGAATCAATGAGATTCGACTGAAAATAGTTTTTTTTCAAAATCATGGCCTCTGTTAATTTCTTCTAACGCTGGTTTTTCTTTTGTGTAAAACTCATGAAAAGAGCAAACGTGACTAACTTTGTTCTACGTTCCCCTCTTGTTCATTTATATACATTTTCTAGTTTTAGAAGTACCGTTAACAGTTCATACTCCATTGAAGAAAGGTATACGACGGAGATCCGGTGACAGTTCGTCACTTGATTTAAGTCATCCAAGACGCCGAAAGTCCGGTAGTTCTCTCTGTTTTCTCCTGTTTGTGTTCTTTGATCGATTTTTTGAATAATCATATTGATCCTAGTGAGTGTGGTTTCGGAAGGGTGTGTGTTTGATCGTTTCGATAATGTTAAAATGTGTTTCATTCAAGTTTTTCATAATTTCACAAGCATGTTAATTTTTTTCTTTTTACAGTTTTTCCTGTGTGATGGGTGCTTCTAATTATAAAATTTTCTGTAGAATTGAATACATAACCTTTTAATTTGCGTTTGTTTCAGAAACAACATTATCTCATTATAATACGATCCATGGTTCTTCACCAGAAAATCATAATTGTAAGTTTTATGATAGACAAACGTTGTACAATCAATTCATAATTATTAATATTTTATTTTTAGATCCCTATATACCGGTGACAAGTTTATTTAGTACAAGAGTGATTTCCGGAGCAAAAAGTACTCCGGTACGTTGGATTAAGTCTTCTTTTCTTCTGGATTTCTAGATCTATTTTTCTACTTTGAAGGATTTGAATAAAATATTAGAACGAAAACAAGCTGGAAGTAAATTTTGAACAAAATATATATAACAGATTCTATTGAATACATTCGTTTATTTTTATTATTATTTTAGTCGTTTGTCCGTATGTACAATATGTGATACCACTCGAAACATTAAATACAAATTTAAATTATAAAATATTAGATGCATTCATAGAAAAAATAACAGATCCAGGTGGACGTTTTCTTCAACAAATAATTGTTAAAAATACTGATGAAGAATATCAAACTAGTATGTCGATTTTTTCTAATAATTATGAACTACTTTATTTCACCTATTCTTTTATTTAGATTCAACACGTTTCACAGTGGAAAATGTAATAAGACGAGATAATGTTAGTGAACAATCACCACACCCATTTCGTTTTACAAAATTAACCCAATTTCCGATTAGTACAATTAAGGAATCACCACATGAATTAAATGAATGAACTAATTAACTTTTCATTCTATTGAACGATTAGCTCAATTTTTACAGATAAAAATATGGAAATCTATGTTCATAATCATCTTGATCAAATCAAATTTATTCAGTTTTTTTTTCTTAAAAAATTTTATTTGATTTTAATTTAGTTTGTATTTTATTTATTCCATCTCAGATTTGGTGAAAAATACTCAGTAAATTTTTCTATAGTCAGGTTTTTCTTGACAGTTTTGTATAATTAAGTAGCTTTGTTGAGATAGTTTCATAACTTCATTCGTTCAAAAAATACATAGGGTTTATTATCACGTACATGTTTTTGTACAATAAGTCTGAATCACACATATTTAAAGTTAAATATTGTAAATATTTTCTTTTCTCTTGTTAATTTTTTGCCGGTGTAATGTTATTTCTTTTTGTTAAGACTTTTCTTTTCTTTTTTTTATGTATATTTGTTATTTTTAAAACTGTTTTCATCTCTTTTTGAAGAATATTCAAGCGTTGTGACCTATAACGGATAATAATGAATTTACAATCTCTAAACATTTACTTTTTGATGACCATATAAATCATTACTATTTATCAAGATTTTCTAATTACCTGTTTACATGTATTATTTGTAGATGAGTGTAAATAATTAAACTCAAATTTATTTATCATATAAAGAAGATTTGAAAATTAATTTGACGAATTATGAAGAATCCGTTTTGTACTATTCAACAAATTCAATATGAAAATAGTATTGCATTACAAACAATACAATCATCATTGCAACTATTAGATTTACTGAGCGTTAAGCGTTTAGATTTTCATTTATCCATTGTCAATGATATAAAAACACGTTTAATTAAACACATAAGCTCAATCAAAAATATCATATGATAGAAAACAATTGAAAATAATTATTGCAAAGAAATGTTTTTCTATACAATATGTAACTCATCTTGTCATGGAAGTTATTAAACATATACTAAAAATCTTGGAAAAATATATCGTTGTTCCGCGAAGATATTTATTCTAAACCACTCATTGAATTAATAAGTCATATATGAGAAGATAATCGATAATTATTTCAAAAAAAAATCTATAACCAAGGTTTCAATAGTACATAATCAATGTTAATGAATAATTGAATATCAAAATTATTTTTTTACAACAACCAAAAATTCGTTGATAAATGTCGATTACTATTCAACAACTATTAATTATGATTGGAACAAATATTAAACTCTATGGTATCGTTAAACATTCATTGTAAAAATTATATTTAAGAACAAAAAATTCAGATTATTTTTTGTTACTTACTCTCTTATTAATTGTTATTTCATACTTTAGAGAATAATATTGTATTAAAAACAGAGTTAATTCACATATTTATATGGACATTGGATGTATCACTTAAAGAACGTAAATTAGATTTGAAACGAACAAGAGACCACAAACAATTTATAGATACAAATTCGAAAGTTGTTGATGTATTGTATGAACATATACCGTTTGTATTAGTCGATCCAAACATCCTTAATATTTTGATAAAAACAGTCATTTTATTAATGTTTAAATATGGTCGAATGGTACCTGAAGATAATATTGAATTAAAAGTTTTTAACTCAATTTCTGCCCTTCATTATTCGTTTGAAAATGGAAAATCGTCTAAATGAACTTGTACATGGTATGAGTCAACTGAAGACAAATCTGATTAAAACTAAATTTATTCAATATAACAACGTTTGAAGAAAAATAAAACATTATCAATATTTTTCCTATTCTATAAAGTAATATAAATTGATTTAATTTCAGACTATGTCATCTTTCACTATTCCTTATTTAATAATATTATTGGATTATTGGTTGTTTGCTTGTGTGTATATAATATATATATATATATATATTATGCAGATAGTTTTCTGTTTTTGTTTTTTATTGTGATTTCGTTTAAAATGATGTTTAACAATAACAATATTGCTTCAGAACGAAGTTTTCCTATTTTACTACAAATTATGAGGTTAACTGTGTTCTTACGTTGAGGATTTGGCCGTTTTTTCTTTAAACTGGAATTAGTCAATCAATCAGTATATTTTAACACACATGTGTTTAGGCTGTTACAAAAAAGAAAAACTTAAATGAATATAACGCCTATGTAAAGATAAGAGAAACAAGAAGGAATTGTTATACATGAAAAGAAAAAAGAAAATTTTAAAGAGATAATTGTATCCAATTATCGTTGTAAAACTACATATTTAAATACAGTCTAAGTCTTCGCCTAAATGCTCCTATGGCAAATTGGACTATCACAGATTATGGCAAGAGGTTCCACTCCATACACGTGCGGGAAGAAAAGAGTGTTTAGTTGTTTCTAAGCTTGTCTTAGGGTAGCCCACTGGCACTGATTATTCAACCTATCCAACGTTCTGCTAGTTAAAGGTGTGATCATATTAAATCTTGAAAGAGCGACTTTTCCTATCACAATTTTATGAATATGTAACAAACGAAAATATTTTCATCTTTCACTTAAGTCAGGAGAATTTAATTTGTTCATCAGTAATGAACTGCTCGTTTCATAGTCATTACAAATTATTCTGGCAGCCACCTTTTGAACAGAAACTAGTGGATGTAAATGCATTTTTGCAGTAGTATCATAAACAACAGAACAATAGTCCATGACTGACATTATGCACTGCCATTATCCAAGATGTGACGACGAAGAGAAGATGATACGGTGTTAAATGTACGGTGCATTGCACTCTAACATCTGTCTACACTTTTTGACTACATTAGAAATGTGAAATTTTCATGTTAGACTGTGCGATAAAAAAATTCCAAACAACCTAATATTGTTTTCCTTAACCAGAGCCTGTCCTGATAAAAAAGCGGACTTCCTAAAGTAGAAGGCGGTGTAGCTGTTGAAAAGGGCATAAAAACGCACTTACCGATGTTTAATTTTACTAGCATTTGTCACACCAGTCAGACATCACATCTAGGTCATTTTGAACCTTTACTAAAGCAAAGGGGCCATTTTGTGATGAAATCGACCAGTTAACCAAATTCAGTTTTATTCATAGAGTAGGCATAATGTGAGTCGAACTGGGCATCGTCGAAACCTTAGAACTACTTCTCAAGAGAAATTTTGTCGTTTGGATATTTTCTGGGCTCGAAATATAGTGGAAATCGTATTTACCATGTTTTGTTGTTTCATTTCACAGTTAATTACACGTATTAAATACCACTCAAAAGTTCTTTTCCCCGGCAATATTTCTGTATATGACACATTGAAAACCAATCGCATTTGAGAAGAAAAAAACCGAAATTGCATTTACTACTATATGAGATGTGAAATCGGTTCGCCATAGCTACAATATTATAGTGGCGTAAAGGAAAAAACTTAATGTTTTACTGGTAATATCAAATCATTATTTAAATTTTTATCAAATGGTTCAAATTGTAGCCGATGAAAATTAGCGCTTCCACAATGAATCAAATCTGATTGAATCCATATGAAACTTACCACCATTACATCGACATTTGGTGCCAGCAATCAGGCTTACCTCATTTTGTGGAGCTCGACGAGCTGAATCGAATGGAGAAAACCGCAAAATCTCCAGTTGACTCGAAAAAAAGTTATTAGCACTTTACTCTGCCAGCGGAAATGTGCACTTTTCGTCATTTTCCAACGGGTTTGGCTTAACTTGTGAAACAGCTCCACAACGCACTCCCTAACGTAGAACCTTGAGCTCAGTTTCATATGGAAGAGCGCATCAAACTCTATATAGTTCCATAAAGAAGAATGATGCGACACCTCTGAATCTTGAGAAAACGATCTCTGAAAACCTATTTGCTTCACTATACCATCTAGAAATCTTTTTACCATCCCATTACATAATCCGTTCAGTTGCCTAGAAAATGAGTTGTCATAACGAAGTTTCTATGAATCTTTATCAAAAATTATCGTAGAAAATACAATGCGGGTCGAGTTACAGGTTTTGTAGCATCGAAATAATTTACTTTTATGCTGAATTTTCGACCCGCATTGTATTTTCTACGATAATTTTTGATAAAGATTCATAGAAACTTCGTTATGACAACTCATTTTCTAGACAACTGAACGGATTATGTAATGGGATGGTAAAAAGATTTCTAGATGGTATAGTGAAGCAAATAGGTTTTCAGAGATCGTTTTCTCAAGATTCAGAGGTGTCGCATCATTCTTCTTTATGGAACTATATAGAGTTTGATGCGCTCTTCCATATGAAACTGAGCTCAAGGTTCTACGTTAGGGAGTGCGTTGTGGAGCTGTTTCACAAGTTAAGCCAAACCCGTTGGAAAATGACGAAAAGTGCACATTTCCGCTGGCAGAGTAAAGTGCTAATAACTTTTTTTCGAGTCAACTGGAGATTTTGCGGTTTTCTCCAGTCGGACAAGAAGAAAAACATCGTCAACAAAAAGGCAAACAATTGTTGAAGGAGGAAAAATGCTGAGGAGGTCATTGATAAAAATGAGGGAAAGGATGGGATCTAATATACGTATTTGGGGAACTCCTAACACTGTGGGCACTGAACTGGGTCGTTTATTGTTAACGGAAACAATTTGTTTCCGTTTACAGAGATAGGAACTGAGCCATTGGTAAAGCGGCCCATCGATACTTGCTAGGGACAATTTTGTGAGGAGTAACCGATGGAGTACGCTATCGAACGCTTTTGAGAAATCAAACGCCATCCCTATGGCCTTATTTAAAGATGCTTACTCAACTCGTTGGTGACATGAAGGAATGCATCAACGGTACTAGATTGTGGACGGAAACCGAACTTTACACGAGAAAAAAAATTTGTTTGCTCAAAATGACGTAGGAGTGCTTGTTGGACTAACATTTCGAAAACTTTACTGACGTTCAATAATAACGAAATCAGGCGTTAATTGGAACAGTGTGAACTGCCTTAATCAAAGCCGATTTCTATAACTCAGGAAAAATCCCATTTACTAACGATTTCTTAAACACAAGATGTAACTGTGGTCCTAGTACATTAGCGCAGAGCTGGAGAAATGGGAACTGCGTCAATCCCCTTGGTTTTTTCTTTTTTAATGATTTTATCAAAACTATGATTTCAGCTAATACTTTTGGATCGAAGTTCTCTCGATATGTAGAATAAACTGATTTTCCATATAACCAAAATATTTAAGTACTCTATTATTCTGTCATTTAAAACATACCTTTGTATTTTTCTTCGTCTTTTCAAATTTCTCTTATCTAATATTTTTGTATGCTTGAATGTTATGTATATTTATTTGTAGGTCGCTATACTTCTTCTATTATATATGAAATATTTACTTAGTAGCAAAAAAAGTAAGTAGTCTAGATTTTTATTTTTGTTCTGTTTACTTATTTCATCCTTTCTTTACACTATAAATAGCAAAACGTTTTATTTGGCCATAAATTGTATGATATTGTTAGTACCAAAAAAACATGATAATGACAGATAACAAAAACAACAATGGCATCGTCGAATAAATCAACACAGTTTCGGTTTAAAAGTTACAGCAATTGGCCATCACAACAATTTGAATCATTTGATAAAAATTTAAATAATGATTTGATATTACCAGTAAAACATTTATCATCTTCACAGCAACCATCAGGGTCATTTGAAATAGATTTAGATCAAGAGTCTATTTCATTTTCTAAAAAGACTTTTGCTTCTAAACGCAGTGTTTTCTCAACTCCAGTATCTGTCTCATTCATTAAAAATAGTTCGATGATACCAGCACAGGAAAACATACCTGTTGGTGGTCTGGAAAAATTATATGAAACAAATGATATGATAACTGAGCGAAAATCTGTTGTAACTGAAACTAATCGACAAATAAAACCAAGACGTCGTTCACCTCCTCCTCCTCCTCCACCATCACCAAAAATTAGCTCAACTAAAATTTCAATCGGTCGCACAAACAAACCATCAGTATCCACGACTGTTACCAATGTTACAATAAGTAAGACAATTTTTATTTTTATAGAGAATTGCTTTTTTTTGTTACTTTGCCTTTCTATAACTAAGTGAGTCTTCTTGTTAAGCGCTCTATTTTCATCTCAATTTTAGATACACATAAACAAGATACATCATTCAAGACCATAACAACTGAGTCAACAACGGTCACGAAAACTACCAAGTATTCATCGAGAACAGACACAAAAAAGTCAGATGTTTCAGTAAAATCGAGTAATCAACAAATATTATCGAATGTGGAACGGAAAGATGAGAAAAATGATACCTGTGCACCTAAAAAATCATTATTATCGACTTATTCTAAAAAAATATCGTTGGATAATGGAACTGAAAAACAATTATCGAAGAATAATAGCAACAAAGAACAAACGATTCAACCAGTGTTAACAGCGCATTCTTCAATTGCAGATATAGATAGTAAAGAAGTAGCAAGGTCGTTCTCAAAGGTACAAATTACATTTAAGAATTTCATTTCTTATCGGAGATGTCTACGGTTTTATTGCAGGCACTTGACTTTTTTCAGAAACAAGAGGAACAACAGCAACTAGCAGATCGTTTGTCATCTTTCAAACAAATCGAACGCAATTCGTACGAACGTTCTTCCTCATCATCTCCATATTCATCTAAACCAAAAATTAGTTCATTGGCAGACATCTCATTAAAAAATAATCATGAGAACAATAATAATAATTATACTACCGTTGATAATACATCTTTAAAGTGCTCAAAATATAATCGAAATTTATCAGATTCATCATTCTCGGATGAAGAAGAAGATTCTGAACAGGTTAGAAAATTATACAATTAGTAATTTATCTTCCATTTGAAGAATGCAAACTTTATTAAATGATAGTAACGACAGATTCTGTCAGAAAAGCTAGAATGTTTTAAATGTTTGTCTAAACTTTGCACTTGATCATTTTGTTTTTCTGTAGAATCTTGAAAATCTTGAAAAAAAAGTCCATATCTATTTGAGTAGCAAAAAATTTTTGAAACATGACTATTGGCCTTTGATGGTGCATCTATTTAATTAAATATTTTTTTTTAGAAATGCATTGACTCGTCTGCAACATCTTCCAGTGAAATGACGGATAAACTGTACAAATGTATTGAAGAATTATGGAAAACAGAAAAAACCTATGTTCATATTTTAAACGTTTTATCATCTGAACTACCATTTGAAGTGAATAAATTGTGCGGTACCGATGATGCGATAGTCAACCAGTTCAATTCGACATATAAACCCTTACTGGGAGCGTTACAAGCTATTTATAAACTTCATTGTGATACTTTATTACCAAAACTAACACCGTACGTTCATAATTGGGAAACATTACGGGGAAATACGAGCCGTAATGTATGGTCTATCTTTCATGATAATTCTCAGTTTATCTCGGTATTGTACAAAGATTATTATGTACGTATTAGTGAATCACAAACGAAACTAGATGATTTATGTAAATTACATTCATGTTTGAACGATGCCATGTTAAAAGTACAAACATTTATGGGAAATTTATATCCGATGAGTCAACTGAATTGTCCGAATCAACGATTATTACGATATATATTATGCATGAAAACATATATGAAATATTTGGATAAACAATCAAAAGAATATCAATTAACAAAATCGATCCATGATGAATTAGATCGTACTGCGTGTGATTGTCAAGAAGCTCTCACTGTGTCATCCATTGTATTGAATGATTTAAATGATCGTTTAGATAATAAATTTGAATGTTATAAAGATCAACGAAAGTTATTATGGTGTGGTTATCTAAAAAAACAATCACCTAGAACAAATCGTGACATTGCTCAACGTTATGTTATCTTATTTTCTGATTGTATGCTTGTCTGTAATGAGTTATCATCGAAAAAACTGGAAATAAAAAAAGAATTATCCATAAAAAATATGACAGTGGATGAGGTTCATTCAACAGACAGCAATAATAGTAATACATCGTTGAACATGACTGTATCAGCATCCTTATCTTCATTAACGGAATTACAACAACAGCAACAACAGCAAAAATGTCGATTTCGTATTAATGCCATTGAAAAAGCGTATGAATTTATAGCTGATGATGAAAAAGATAAGCAAATATGGATCAAAAAAATTGAACAGGCTATCGACGAGTATAGTAAACGAGTTACCCATATTATTCCAAGAAAACCTTATTCGACCGAAACAATGTCTACTTCTTCTACTTTGCTTGGTTTTCGGGCACCGATTTGGGTGAATGATGTGGATGTTTCTCGATGTCAAATATGTAATACAAAATTTCCACAAATTAATATTGTACGAATTAGTTTGTCAAATAAACATCATTGTCGTGCATGTGGAAAAGCCGTTTGTTCATCGTGTTCGTCTAAAAAATGTTTACTCGATTATAATAAAGCTATGGGCGAAAGTCGTGTATGTGATGCTTGTTATAATGAACTTACAGCAGTAACAAAACAGTCGCCAATCATAACATCGTCACCACGACCTCGTGTGCAATTAGTGAATGTTACACGTGATCCGGATCAAACA